ACAGTCCTAACTCATCTCGGATGCCACAGCACAGCATAAAATAATGACAGAAACTTTCATTTTTTCCCTCAGCACTAAAAATGATGTAACTTTCAGTTCTTTTAAGTAACATACATGAAAACTTTGCTTTCAAACACTTTATGAATATACCAAAGTATCTTTCAAGACAGAAGATTTTTTCCCTGCATGTTATGTTAGAGACCCCCAGAACAGAGACACTACACACAAAGACTACATAAGTCAAAGAGATGCTCTTATAGTCAATTTTAGTGACTTAAAAAGACAACAACAATATCTGCCTCAAACACAAAGACAATTTTCCCCCCAATTTTCACAGCTTTCACGAACAAACACATCTGATGTGTATTGTGGCCTACCAAATATACATGAAACAACTTTTTCAATTGTAAAACATCAATTAAAACTTCAGGATGAAATTTAAATTTTCCACAGAAATTCTGGCATATTTCTCAGTTCTGATACTTCAGTTCCACTTTGTGGCTTTTTAATTTTTTTCATCAAATCATAAAAAGATAATTATTGTGTTTGTGTTCATGTAAATAATTTTAGGTATAAATTTCGGTCTTTCATTCTTAAAAAAAGGACACTTGAATAAATATTAAGAGAAAATGGCATATGGCTTCAAAGTATGCTTTAAGTCAGTGTACAATTTTTATCTCCAATTTACATCTTGAAGAAAAAGGGGAAAAAAACATTATGCAGACTTAAAAAACAACAGTGTCAAAATACAATAATATTTTGTCAACTAATTAGACCAAACCCAAGCTAAATTTAAAACATCAGAATGTTTATTTTTGTAGCCTGATTTCAATAGACCCCCTTACATTATTTTGACTTCTAATTCCTTATCAGTCAGATTTTAAGCACACAATGTCTAAAATTACATCTCCTGCCATTCATTGTGTCATGTTATGTACACAATTTTCTTCAGCTGCAATCCAGACCCCCTTACTCTACTCTCTGTGTACCATATAGCAATTCATTCAATCAAAACAGGTATAATCTTCCATATTAGAGTATGGAAAAGTCCAATTTTCAAGATATCTCAAATTTATAAATGTGCTGATTCAATAAATTGTAGTTAAGTTTATTATAGTTCAAATGTATTCACAATTTCTGGGCTTTAGTTTATTCCTTTTTCAGCCAAAATGGATTTCACAAAAATTTATTGTGTGTTCAGCATGTTTATTTCATTGATCATTTCTTATATCAAAATATTTATCCTGAACACACATGCGCTCAGTGACTTTTATTTAAAATATCGACGAAATATGTACATTTTTCTGCAAAATTCATAAAAAACTGAAATTACGTCATATTTGTGACGTCATTACGTAAAAAAAAAATTATTCTGCTTTGAAGTCCATATACTCCCCTGTTTAAGGACTTAATTAAATATTACTCCATCAAAGTTTGATTTTGGGGGGCAAATGTTGGTTAATACCGCATATAGTTCTTTATAAATATGAGTTTTTCTATACAAATCCAGAATGGGCTTTAGTTTATTTGCCTATGGATACAACAATTTATTTGCAGAAATCAAATCCTGTTATTTATCAGCCAGTTGGACTCTCCTGGGGGAAGCTGGGCCATATTGGAGTTCACAGGCCTGTAATTTGTTTCTGCGGCATTAGGACTAAGTCCCTGATAATACCGGTACTCTCCATCTCTCCAGAACTCGAGATCCCGAGATCGATCACTGAGGTCCTGACAATCAGCAGAAACGAGTCAGCAGGCAACTCACACAAGACCGTTTATTCCAATTCTTTTTTTTTTAACAAAGTCTTGGATTAACTCTACAGCGGAAGGAACAATGATCCGAATTTTCTGGTCCCTGACCAATAAAACTTGCTGATTATTGTAAAGGATGAATAATTCAATGTTTCCCGCTGATTAAATTTCTACACTTTCTAATGGTACTAGAAGTAAAGGGGCCAATATTAATCAACATCTCCTCAATCTCTTAAAAAAGAAAAATAAAACTAGAGAAAATCAGCTGGGCCCAATCTCCCTCTCTACAAATTACCCTTTGTCAATTCTAGCGGGATATCTTTATTGTGACCTTTTGTTAAAATAAATGCCTGATTTATGTTAGAACACCCTCAAACATATTCACAGAGAGCTAAAAAAAATTATCAAAAAAAACAATTTTTAAATAAGCTAATTATCAGCAGTTATCAACATTATGAAAGTTCTCAATAGCCTGATGATTATAAATTTTAGACACCCTCCCTTCTCTCCCCACTCCTAGCCCTGTGGATGTTTTCCAACTCCTCCATCAGTCATCTTTCCAAATCTCATCAACCCATCACCATCAAACATATTAAAAAAAAAAACAATTATCCCAACTCAGGGGACAAATTTGATGAATTTCCCCAATATCTGCCATATAAGGGTGACATAGTGTTTTCTCCTCTTTGTTAAACCCGAGTCGTCAGGTACAGTACAGGTGTTAATTTACCTCCAATGACACCAAGATTCAATAACTTCTGAACAATGATGGCACAGCTCTTAAAATATTTATCACTGCAGACTGTGGCCTTTATCCATTTTATAAAAATAAGGTCAGAAAAAGGTGTATTATAGAGGGATAGTATGTCACCACTGAGAAGATTAAAGCAGCACACAGACACACGGGGGGTAGTGTTACGTACTGTATAAAGTCGTTAATGTGTAATAGTGATCATAATTATCTAACGATTCTTATACATCAAGTGATGTATTATTTATTACAGATACGTGATAAGGACACATAGTGTATGTCAACTCTACATTTGATCCTATGTTTCCGTAACAGAAGTCAGCAATAACCTGAATACACTGATTATGAACAATCTATGTCACCTCTGCGTTTGATCCTATGTATCAGTAACAGAAGTCAGCAATAAACTGAAGATGACTAATCTTGGAGAACTCTTGGGGGAAAAACACAACAAAACTTAATAGTACATAGAGATCTGCTTTCACTTAACTTCTGACTTTGATTCAAGATCACTGAACACCTAATACCCAAGAACATTTTACAGGTGAAGCACCTTTATGAAAATTAATCCACAGGGAGTGAATACGATACTGGGACAAGTGATACAAGACTGACCGATAAAAGTGATATTACACAAGGTAAAACCAAATAAAAGATATACAAGTGATATCAATATGACAGATACACAAACTTCTGATCACGACAAGGTAAACAGGGACATAATAAAGTTGGCTTTAAAATAAACTTTCCTTAGAAGAAAATCACAAATTAAGTCTTTTTCTGAAAACACAAGTCTTAAGGAGGTTTTGGCCCCTCTCTTCTACCATCCCCCCCCCAACAATTTAATAAAACTTGTCCCACCTCCCAACACAAACACATCAATTCTATAAACCTATGAACGTTACAGGGATGTACATTATCTAATAGTTGTTACTGTTACTTTTCCAACCCCAGTACTATCTCAGTGTTTATTCTGGACTTTAAGATTACTTCCATGTTGTGACTCATTATTCTCCCTCCTATAGATTTAATAAGGAAGTTTTTTTAATCTAACTGTACAGGTCAACTGTAATTTAACCAGCCTCTTTGTTTGACACTTTACATTATGTGCTTCTAAACCCATAAAACAGTGCTTTACTAAATTAAGATCCCATTTGTTCATACATGCAAGAGAAGTATCTAATTTCCATTAATTCAGTATCTGCAAGTAATTTGTTTTATTCATGATTTTCAGCAATCCTATTTTTAACAGAGCAGAACTCACTCCCTCACCAAACATAATCAAGGGAGGAGGATTAATCCTGGTCTTTTCTCCCCTACTCCAGCATGCTAGATGTTCATAATGAAAAACTTTTTAATTTGGTTCAGAGGTACAAGGGTAGAGGAACCTTAACCAATGCTCTTGTCAGAATACCCTGACTCCTGACCTCCCCGTAAAGCAGACTGTCTGTTAGCCAGCCCTCTACACCCCCCTTCCTCCCAGCTGTAACAGACCTTTATATGTCCTTCAGTCCCCCTGATCCTCTAACCAGCTAAGTATTAATGAATTAAACAGGACACCCTCCCCTACTGTAAAACTCAAAACAATGTTGTCTTCTTTCTCCCCATTTCTGAACCTAACCAACCCAGAAATTGAAACAAAAACCATTCTAATCTTAAAATTCACAACATGGATTTAATATGGAGATCACCCACTGCTACTTCACACAATCAGGGGGGTCCTGATTTCCTACAGAACACCCCACCCTCCTGACCTCCTAGAGGTTACAGTCTGTTATCATTACCACCATTAAATGCCCTGTTATCCCCCTAATCCTGTACCCAGCTGGGTCTGACTGAATCCAGCAGGTACTCCCCCCTTCTGCTCCATCAATCCCCCTTGTTTTATTGACTCAGGTATTAACTTCATGATAAAGTATTCAGACAAGGCTGTCAATAAATAAACATCATTGAATTTAGGATGATACCTCAACATACATGTACAAATCTCACTAGAAATATGTCTATATGCACTATGACACATACACATCAGGTTCAAACTGATTTTGATCCAGAGAGAAGTTTTACTCTACATTTCACATTTTACAATGAAACAGACCTTTTGTCTTAAAATCCTGTTACCCCCAGTCCCTCCCTAAAACATAACCCCTTCTTTAACTAACTTGTTTCTTCATGAGCATTTTCAGCGATACATATCCAACAACTATCACCAGAGATATAAAGACAGACAGATAAATGTATATCATTAGCCACATCCTTCAAATGACACGGGTTCTTTCATTGTCACAATTTTATGACATCTAAGGAAGAAAGACAAACACATGCATAAGGTTGTCCATAAGAACTGAAATAGATGAGGGCAAGAAGGGTGTTTATTGGTTCTTCCCCAAGTGGGGGTTGACGTACAATGCCAAAATAACAGGGGATAGTTTCATTACAGAGAAAGTTCCCCGGCCCCTTGGTTAATTGCATAACCCCTCTGTAACATAAGACTCACCCTTCTGACGACCAGGGTTCCGTCGTCGTTGTCACGGTTACGTGAGTTCTCGCTGACTTTGTTGGCGGGGCTTTGGTTGGAGTGTGAGGGTGAAATGTCTACAAAACAGAAAGCTCTGTATGATATAACAGTCACTTAAACTCATAAAGAATACATATTATTATTATCATGAAATTTTGAAATGTGATGCAATGCTTTGCAAATATATTCTGTGAAAAAAAAAGTGTACTAGAAATTAAAGTAAGTCATTATCCTAAATGACTGAAATACAGACATACACATAAATCAAGAATGTTTACAAATATAAAAAAGATACACAGACAGACAGACAGACAGACATTACCTGTGTGGATGACCATTGAAGACAGAGTTTCTAATGTGTCATGGTAATATATAGACACAGACAGACAGACAGACAGACAGACAGACAGACAGACAGACATTACCTGTGTGCATGACCATGGAAGACAGAGTTTCTAATGTGTCATGGTAATATATAGACACAGACAGACAGACAGACATTACCTGTGTGCATGACCATGGAAGACAGAGTTTCTAATGTGTCATGGTAATATATAGACACAGACAGACATTACCTGTGTGCATGACCATGGAAGACAGAGTTTCTAATGTGTCATGGTAATATATAGACACAGACAGACAGACATTACCTGTGTGCATGACCATGGAAGACAGAGTTTCTAATGTGTCATGGTTATATATAGACACAGACAGACAGACAGACATTACCTGTGTGGATGACCATGGAAGACAGGGTTTCTAATGTGTCATGGTTAAAACCACCAGTAGGTCTAAAACAGATTAACAAATAAATATTAAAATCCTGCATCATCAATAGTGCCTTAATTATGAGACAGAGAGAAAAAAAGATCAAATTTCACAGAAAAATCAACCAAAAAGTACCCGGTATTTTATTTAAATTTTCATTTTCCAATTTGAGGTCATGCCTAGAAAAGGCAGAGTTAACACTTTTGTTTTGAAAATCATACCTATCAGATATATTTACAATATGGCAATTGCTATTATACATTTCTCTAATTATTTAATTTTTCCTCTATATCTATTGATTGTTTATTGATGTTCCTTCTTTTCTGCTTTTATTTACATGACAAACTGGCAGTGTAAAATGCACCATTAGTTTGCTCAAAATGACTGCTAGAGTTATCTGCCCATTATAGTGTGCAATATGTACACCACCATTTCATATTTCCAGCACAAAATAAAAACCCCACTGATTATTCAATAAATGCTTCAAATGCACATCTCAGTAAAACATATATAAACATAAAATTATAGGTAAACTGATTAAACACAATAGTAATTCAAACACAGTATACTCCTTTAATGTTGAGCGTATACTGTTATAAAAGATAATTTATAATATAATAAACATAATAATAGCATACAAATATAAAATTCAGAGAATCTGATTAATATTAAAATTAATAGAAATAGTTGAAAAACAAATTATTAGAGAGATCAACTTATAATAAAGTAACAGTAATCAGACAGGGCACTTCTCTTGCTAAATAATGTATATACACAAACATATGATACATAATTCATAAATCTCTGACATTCGTTAGATTAACAAGCAATTAACACTATAATAATTAAAACACACTCCAGCATGGTCTATATATATATGGAGATTTCAACAGGATTTGGGAAAATCAAAGCTGTGTGGAGAATTCATTTCTCTAAAGCATTGGAATACTGTAGAAGTACTTTTTTCCGCGTAGTATTAATTTACGCTATGTACGCGGTCACAAATAATCTGCGGAAATTTGTCCAAGCATACTTAATATAAATGTAAGGCATATAGAAACAAAGTAGAAAATCCGCGTAATTTTCTACCCGCAGATTAAACAGAAATTGAGATTCCGCGGAATTATGACCCCGTGGAAAAAAGTACGTCTACAGTACTTAAACCAAATGTTGTCTCATTATATTTCCTAGAGATTTATAACAAATAATACTAAGTCCCTATCATAAAAATAATTTATAATTTCAAATTTAATTCACATAAAAGTGATCTAAATAAAGTTTTCTTTAAGCCCATATTCCTTTATGTCTTAATTCAATGTGTTCTTTTTAAATTTCATTTTCTTTTCTGGTTATAAATATTCATAACTCAAAAAACTTTCATGTATTGTATTCAATGGGATGTACTAAAGTTAATTAATTGTAACTGATTATACTCAGGCTTTGGGAAGGACAGTTGTACAGTTATATGATTATATATATAGGTGTTTACTATATATACAAAATTCTGGTATATATAATGCATTCAATAAATTGTATTAAACAAAATCTTACAAACATCACATACATAGCAGTTCTTTTTCTACAACAAACAGTCCAGATTTTAAAATTTTAACACATGTCCTGGGAATAGTTTATTTATATTGAACATACATGTATTTATTATATAATAAATATTTTCAAAAATCCAAGTTACTGTTTGTGGGCTGCAATATGAAAATAATGGCTAAGTCCTGTGTTTGCTATTATAGGAAACCCCAAGTATCTGTCCGATCAAAAAGTAAAATAGGAGGTGCACAATGGTACTATGCAATGTTAATTTTGTGAAATTCTAATAAAGTTTAATTCAGTGGTATAGGAGGAATTGCAGGCAAAAGATGGAATACTCCCATGTGTTATGGACATACAAAGGGATAAAACCAAATCACCATATACCCAACACTGTTCAAAGGGGGATAAATAATTCCAAAGTAAGCAAATTCTCATTTTTATCAAATATGGACCACAGGTCAAATAAATATTTTAAAGCACAGTTGCTTTAAATAGTGTTATTGTTGTAAAACCAATTCAGTGTTATTTTAAGTATATATGGACTAAAAGACAATAAATATTTAAAAAGATTTTCCCTCTGCTTTTATGCTTTATTATTTTTTATTTAATTGAAGCTAATCTACAGATTCAGACTAAACAACTACTCTATGAAGAAAAAAACGAAGATACAAAACTGAAAACCTGATACGTACAAAGGTCTGGCGGGTTCTGAGGCGAGAAGAGTTCCGTCCCTTGTGACCTCCTCCTCAACTTCCTCCTCCTCATCTGAGGAGCCCTTCTCCTCCTCAGGGAACATGTCTATCAGCTTCTCCTCCTCAGGACAATATACAACATGTCTATCAGCTGTTTGGCGTACTTATCTAGGTCTTACAATATACAACATGTCTATCAGCTGTTTGGCATACTTGTCCAGGTCCTACAATATACAACATGTCTATCAGTGTAAGGTCCTACAATATACAACATGTCTATCAGCTGTTTGGCATACTTGTCAAGGTCCTACAATATACAACATGTCTATCAGCTGTTTGGCGTACTTATCAAGGTCCTACAATATACAACATGTCTATCAGCTGTAATGTCCTACAATATACAACATGTCTATCAGCTGTTTGGCATACTTATCAAGGTCCTACAATATACAACATGTCTATCAGCTGTAATATCCTAAAATATACATGTCTATCAGCTGTAATGTCCTACAATATACAATATGTCTATCAGCTGTAATGTCCTACAATATACAACATGTCTATTAGCTGTTTGGCATACCTATCAAGGTCCTACAATATACAACATGTCTATCAGCTGTTTGGCATACATGTCAAGGTCCTACAATATACAACATGTCTATCAGCTGTTTGGCGTACTTATCAAGGTCCTACAATATACAACATGTCTATCAGCTCAGCTGTATCAGTACCGTCCTACAATATACAACATGTCTATCAGCTGTTTGGCGTACTTATCTAGGTCTTACAATATACAACATGTCTATCAGTACCGTCCTACAATATACAACATGTCTATCAGCTGTTTGGCATACTTATCTAGGTCCTACAATATACAACATGTCTATCAGTACCGTCCTACAATATACAACATGTCTATCAGTACCGTCCTACAATATACATGTCTATCAGGTCCTACAATATACAACATGTCTATCAGCTGTTCTGAGTGCAGATTCTGCTTACCTCTGGTTTCTGGGCTTTACTTGAGGGCCTTTGTTCTGTAAGATAGAGAACAAAAATATTGATACTTCATACTGAAATCCAATGTATAGCCTCATTAATAGAGAGTATCAAAAGTATTTATTTAATGGCAAAAGTCATGTAAATCACTTGTCCACCATGTAATTGGGTATTTCCAACTCTTATTTGATCCACCACTTCTAAATTTCAAATCAGTTTGATACAAGTATTAGTAAGGTTCCTGCCATAAATGTTCCTGTTATTAATCCCCATGCTCTCTGACTCATCTTAATACGCTTTTTTCTCCTTTAAGTCTTACTAGCCAAAGACAACACAAATGACCCACCTCTTACAGGGGGGAAGGGAAGCAAAACTAAGTAAAAGCATGCATAGTCTCATCAGTATTTCAAGAAATCCAATCTTAACTACTGCACAGGCTTATAATTGAAAACTTCATTTACAAGTACTCATTTTTTTTTAAGTAATGTTTACAAATTTTATCATAATGATTATGGGTTAATAATATTCATATGTATTTCATTCTAGAATCTTATCTCCTTCATCATAGTACCCAGTGGTGAGTTAGCAGTGCAAAATATTTCAATTTAAAAGATATAAATTTGGCAGATAGATATTGAACTTGAGAGAGAGCATATACATGTATATTAACATGTTAAGATGTGTGCTTTGTGCGGCGTGTTTGGGGGAGGGGGTGTGAGAGGAGGGAGAGGGGGTAAAAATATATCACTCTGGGTCAAAACATTCTGTCAGAGATTACTTCATCTATATAATCAAATTTTCTACAGAGGACATTTAACAGAAGAGCAACGTGTCAACATCATTCTTTCTTTTTGTATTGCCAAAATAAAAAAAAAATATAATATTGTGTATTTATTTTAATATTTTTTGAATTTTTCTCATCTAGAGCTAAAAATCAAGCAATTTTCTCTTGTGTTACAGTACAATGCTATTCTATTGTTTTGCTCACAAATGAAAAAACCAGAAGTCTCTGTCGAGACTGTAGCTCTACTGGTTTATACTTAAAACAAAGGAAGAGAAAAGTAGAAGTTTGGAATTGAGACTTTAAATCAGCAATAAATAGAAAAATGATCCTTGCCACTCATCAAAATAAAAACCGATGCACAGAATTATGTATCTTAGTATAGTCTACTTGTGTGCCAAGTTATATTGAAATCGAACTAAAACTGTAGGAGGAGTAGCATTTTGAAACAATTTCACAAAAATTTCTATTCTTAGTAACCATGGCAACACCGTTCATTGAATTCAACAACCGATGCACAGAATTATGTATCTTAATGTAGTCTACTTGTGTGCCAAGTTATATTAAAATCGGACTAAAACTGTACGAGGAGTAGCATTTTGAAACAATTTCACAAAAATTTCTATTTTTAGCAACCAAGGCAACACCGTTCATCGAAATTAAAAACAGATGCACAGAATTATGTATCTTAGTGTAGTCTACTTGTGTGCCAAGTTATATTGAAATAGGACCAAAATTGTAGGAGGAGTAGCATTTTGAAACAATTTCACAAAAATTTCTATTTTTAGTAACCTCGGCAACATCATTCATCGAAATCAAAAACCGATGCACAGAATTATGCATCTTAGTGTAGTCTACTTGTGTGCCAAGTTATATTGAAATCGAACCAAAACTGTAGGAGGAGTAGCATTTTGAAACAATTTCACAAAAATTTCTATTTTTAGTAACCATGGCAACACCGTTCATCGAAATCAAAAACAGATGCACAGAATTAATCTTAGTGTAGTCTACTTGTGTGCCAAGTTATATTGAAATCGAAAAATTGTAGGAGGAGTAGCATTTTGAAACAATATCACAAAAATTTCTATTTTTAGTAACCTCGGCAACATCATTCATCGAAATCAAAAACCGATGCACAGAATTATGTATCTTAGTGTAGTCTACTTGTGTGCCAAGTTATATTGAAATCGAACCAAAACTGTAGGAGGAGTAGCATTTCGAAACAATTTCACAGAAATTTCTATTTTTAGTAACCGTGGCAACACCGTTCATCGAAATCAAAAACCGATGCACAGAATTATGTATCTTAGTGTGGTCTACTTGTGTGCCAAGTTATATTGAAATAGGACCAAAATTGTAGGAGGAGTAGCATTTTAAAACAATTTCACAAAAATTTCTATTTTTAGTAACCTCGGCAACCATGTTCATCGAAATCAAAAACCGATGCATAGAATTATGTATCTTAGTGTAGTCTACTTGTGTGCCAAGTTATACTGAAATCGAACCAAAACTGTAGGAGGAGTAGCATTTTGAAACAATTTCACAAAAATTTCTATTTTTAGTAACCATGGCAACACCGTTCACCGAAATCAAAAACCGATGCACAGAATTATGTATCTTAGTGTAGTCTACTTGTGTGCCAAGTTATATTGAAATAGGACCAAAACTGTAGGAGGAGTAGCATTTTGAAACAACTTCACAAAAATTTCTATTTTTAGTAACCTCGGCAACATCATTCATCGAAATCAAAAACCGATGCACAGAATTATGCATCTTAGTGTAGTCTACTTGTGTGCCAAGTTATATTGAAATCGGACCAAAACTGTAGGAGGAGTAGCATTTTGAAAAATTGTTTACAGACAGACAGACAGATAGACAGACAGACGGACAGCTAGACAGACGGACGGACGACGGACGCATTACTATTGCATAAGCTCTTCTGGTCTCTGACCAGTAGAGCTAAAAAAGTAAAAAAAGGTTTTTTCAATTCTTAATATATTTTTATATACAAGAAATTCAAACTAAAATAAAAACCCACAGAAATACTAATATCTTCCTCAAAAAATTTGCAACAAGTTTAACCCCTATATTTTCTATATTTTTCTAGCATAAATTGCAAGATTACTTAAAGTTCCCAGTACAAAAAGCAGGTAAGGCTTTAAAGTAGGAGGAAAGGGGTGGGTGGGAAAAGTCCAGAGTAACTGACAGAAGGGGCAGAGGATTGAAAAGGGGGGCCCTCAAAATTGTCATGCTATGTCCGCTGAGTAACTTTACTAAAGAGAATAATACGGTGCTTTCAAGGCTAGCATTTTCTCCACCAAAAACTTACTCATACCATTATCTGTAAACTTAACTGCATTCAAAGGTCAAATAAAATTGATATAATAGGCATGGAAAAGGAGTATCAATTATGTTTAATAGGTCATCATTTTATAAATTTCATTTTCAAGACTCTACAATAAAATAGACTTGAAGGAAAATATTACTAATTTGCATAAAGCAGGTATAAGCAGGCTGGGGTGCTTGAGTTGTACAGGGATATGCAAGAGAACAGAAATGGTTTGAAACTAGTCATTTAACAATGAAATTTTTCACTCAATTTGGAGTGCCAAGAAATGATATTTCTATCTATATTATCTTATCCATCTAACTTTAACTTTTCCGAAATGGAATAATATTGCAATATAAAAACATTGAAACAATAAAAGCGGATATATTATCTGAGGCAGTAGATTTCTTAACCAGAATGTCTGGAATATTTAAGCCCTGCAGAAAGCTGAAAATGATGCCTATCATGCGAGTTAACACTGGACTCTCCCCTTTCTGGGTTGAATTAAAATCCTTGCTCAAGTGATATAAGCTCTGAGTAAATAGCAAAAGGACATTGTCTGTGTGACCTGAGCTTTCGTCCTCTGACCCGGACCCACTATTGTCCTCGGCTTCCGGGTCTCGGTTCACATCCTCAGACTTTTCCTCCACTGGAAACACAATGCACCAAAACCATGCAATATCACAATCAAAATTACCATGCATAAATATAAATGCCTGCTGTAATAAGATATTAAAGGGATGATTTGTTTCAACTTTTTTGAATTCACAACTGACATACTTTAATCTTGAGGTGACATATTCGAGAAATAACAAAACAGACTTAAAAAGAAGAGATTCTGTTCTGTGTTAAATTCTTTGGTTTCTCTACACTTAATCAATGTCTAGGTGGTCTGACATATTGACCTATGGGTTGTGGTGGTCTGAGATACTGACCTATGGGTTGCAGTGATCTAGAGGTATACTAACCTATTGGCTGCGGTGGTCTGGCAATCTGCTGCTGTCTCCCAGGACCCTGCGGTGGTTGGTATGGCCCGGGCCATCCCTGTTTTGAACTTGACGGCCTTTGACCCTGTCGACCTTGCTGCTGGACGGGGACGGGGCGGGAGTTCTGGGGGTGACCCTCACGCTGCTGAATCAACTGAAAGTTTCTCTTTAGTGTGGACTCTCCAGGGATCTGAAGGATGGAGCTAAAAGAAAGAAAAATGGTAAAACCTAAGTTACAGATCTTCTTTTTCTCTGATTCAGTTTTAAAAACCTTTAGAAAATGACATTTCTTGAAAACTTTCATAAATGAGAATTTCAAAATCATTCTCTTTTTATTCCTTTAAATATACTGAAGAGAAGCTTGGAAAGCATGTTTATAAACATTTAAAGAAACATGAAAATAAAGAAATAGCATAACTGAGAGATTGTACTTTAGATTGAGTGATTTAATTATTATGTAAGAAGAAAGTCATATTTTTGAAATGATTTTTTATTTAATGTTAAAATAAGAAAGAAAATATTGAATTCTCAAAGTTTAAAGTCTGGCAGTGTCTGTCAGAGTGGAAAATGTTTATAAAAACATAGTGTGAATAATCTTTAAAAACATATCTTAAATCAAGAGCTTAACCAGGATCATGGGCAGCCAACAAGCTCTCCTGGCCCCAGGATTACACATTCTTAAGCTAGCCATTTGATAAAGATATCACATGCACTGGATCATACAGGTTTGTCAGTGAAGTACATTCATACACAAATATTTATCACTGTGAAAATGAAAAATATGGTTTAATCTCTCATCAGCTTGTCACTGAAAAATTTAATATCTTAAAAAAGTTAAGGGTCATCTTGTCCCTGTTTGTTTACATAAAATGTTGCTTTATTAATATGATTTTACAAACAAAATCCAAATCATATTTGAAATGCAAACCATTTTTACATATTTTGTGGTGCCAGATTTAACATGAGTCACCTTTTAACTTGACAATTTTCAAAAGAGATTATTTATCATTAATCAGAGTAAGGGTTATCTTTCTTGTCAGAGGGCTCATGAACCTTAATATACATGCACGTTAACAAGCAAGAAGTGGACAGCTGACCAGGCTTCTAGGTTTTACTTCAGTGTCATCATCTGTGCTTATAATGTATCATACAATATTGTTTAAAGTAACAGAACTGAAACACTGGTACAGTACTTAAACACCAACAGGGACAATCATGAAATTTATTTTTTTTTGTTTTGCTTCACATATAAATGATTTATAAATAAGCTATTTAGATTGTCAAAAACTTTGACTTGCATGCATTATCTTCTAAAAATTCCACAGATTCCACAGAAAAAAAAATGGAAAATTCTTTTCTTAAATAAACATAAAGTGATCCTTTGGTCTAACAGCCTAAGAACCTAATCAGCTGTACACACAGAGAGATAGGAATAAGAACAGGTTAAGTTACACTGGTCTGTTAGGATCCGGCTTGCTTTCTCTACGTCTGGCCGTGCTGGGAAAGGGAAGGTGTCAAAAGTCATAAACAACATACATAAATATATAAAAGTCTTAAACACAGGAAGTATATTGTGCAAACACTATCAGTTCGGGGTTACTTAGGGTAACTTATATCCATTATGGAGTAGAAACAACCACTAGTGTCTATATAATTATTCACAGTGCAGCTACATGTGTGAATTTCATGAAAGGTTGGGGTGAAATTGCAAAGTTAGTCTGACATGAGAGTCCAAAATATGTACTATTAAAACAACAATGTAACCTTTCATATGATTGAAGATTTACACAATGTTTATCAAACACTCTTTACACATGTACACAATAAGTATTTCAAAATTTATAGGCCATTAGATCAGCCAACTCCCCCACCCAACATAAATACTCAATTACACACATATTACATTACTAACCTGAATTACTTCCTTATAAATAGGGAATTTAAGAGCAGGTCAATTATTATTATGTCTATCCATAATTAAACAGGACATATATGTACCAGTGTGACCAAGGTTACCTACACAGCCATCTATCATAAAATTTTGTTTGGATAATTACAGCTAACCCCTTGATTGGAATAGTATACTTTTGCCCTTTGAATTAATCACCTGTCAAGGAGTTGAAGGAATAGAACTAAAGTTATGAACAACACAATATTTTTTTTTTACATTCACAACAAATAAACAAGGTACCACATCAATCCCCATGCATTCTTAATTAACTACTATGTCTAAAAGAAATTCATATTACATCCAATTCAAATGTTCAACACGTAATGGGTGTGCATTTTTTTTGCCAGTAAATAAAAGAAAAAATTGAACACTTAACCCTTATCATGCTTTATAATATTTGTATAATAATATAACAGGGTGCTGCATAAAACAATAAAATCATTTTTTAAATATTAGTGTCTTTAAATTACAGTAGAATTTTTATTTTTTAAGATACATCCATAATCCTTATATAATTTTTATAGTTTGAATCAGTACAAATGTCACTCCATTATCAGATTCATTCTAAAAACTCACCTGTGTAAGTTACAGGTAAGAAAAGTTAATGCATGTGCATTCTACTCAAAACTACACTAAAATTTCATTCTTTTAAAACAAATACGATTTCTTTCAATCAAAAACAGTTTTGATGCGATGATATTTCATCACCTTTTCCTATACATATATCTACTGTGATACAGGTACGCTCAGGTAAGACAGGTACGTCAGGTAAACCTCGTTAACCAAGAAACTAGAGAAATTATTCAGTTATTTATGTTTATTTATTTCAATGGTGTGAATAATTGTAAAAGGAAAATACTAAACAAGAACAAAGAACTCAAATTCGCACGTTTTATTTCGGAGACGTGTCCACAACGTCCCAGTTCTCGTGTATATCGTCGTCTGCATAACACCAACTTTATCCAAATAATATATCTACATATCCGGTATAAATTCGTTGAAATTAATAAAACGAACATACTCAAAGCACTCAAAAGCAATATCTTTTCCAAATTACTAAGATAATTTAAAATAAATGCGGTTATTCGGCGTTGTTTAGGAATAAATCGTCATTGTCGATACATTCCGCCATTTTTGTAATTGAAGTAAACAAGGAATACAACCTGCGTCTTTTTGATGAGCTTTTGTACTTTCAACCAATGAAATCAGGGCTTATAAACAGTGTTTTGGATTGTAAAACGGATATGATGAAATACCAACACAAAAATAGTTTGTACAAGGGTTTTTTATTCTTAAAATAGGAATGGGAATTTCCGATATTCAAAAACGACTTATGCCGCGACCAGCACTGAAACGTAAAGTTGCCGATCGCGGCAAATGCCGCGATTAGCACGATAAGGGTTAAATACAGCAAAAAGATTCAAACTATAAATTTCCCTTCCAATATATTCAAGCCTACAGGTAAATATACAAGCCACACCCCATTCAATAAAATCTTGCTTGTCTACGTTCAGCACCCCTCCCTGATCTACCCCCCGGTTTACCTTGGTTCACCGGCCATGTTTGTTTCCTCTTCTTCCTCTACATCACTGGGTACCCACTCTGTCATGTTGTCCTCGTCATCTAAATCAAGTACACATCATATTACCAGAAAATCAAGTACACCTATGGAAAAATCGTAGCTGAAGGCAGCACATCAGAGACAATCGATAGGAAATTTTAAAATCAATAGTCATTAATATTTTTTTCAAAATACGTTTTTTAAAACAAAATTGCTTAATTTTCACCATTCATCATAAAGGATCTTTCTCCATTTCTCTTGCATATGGGAGACAAATTTTGATCATACACGTACAATCGACTGCTTGCTACCAATTCAATATGATAATTGAAAGTAATTTTGGTCCGATTTGGCAACACACAAGTACATCTCAATTCATTACTAAGATTACTTATCTATGATGATGCCTCCTTAATTAGCAAAATTTTTCTTTGTTTAGTCTATTTCTTTCTTTTTTGATGTGTTTATCTTGTGAAACTGGTTGCTCCTTATATGCTGGCATCAAGTTGGTTCTCTTTGAGTGGTGCTATTTATAAAGTGGTTACTGACCTGGCCTCTTTTTGCGGTGCCTGTCTATATGGTCCTTTAGCTGAATTCGGACCTGTCGCTCCGTGGGTTGGTCCTTTATAAACGGATGTCTAAGTAATGTCTCTGTGTTTGGCCGATGCATGTAATCCTTCAGTAAACAAGTCTCCACAAAATTTGAAAACCTGGAGGACCTTAAAGAAATTAAAACAGAGCAGTGATATTTAAAATGGTAAACCCTTGAAATCTTAAAGAAAAGAATATACAAACAAATGAAATTTTATCACCAAGACACTGTACAATCTGTCACTTAACCCTAAGCTGTGTTCAAGATTAAATCTGCTGTGTAGCTCTTATTTAAATCATGAATGTTAATTCTAGCCATAACAAGCTTTAACAAATATGTTGTGTTCAATTGACCAATTTTTCTAGCCAAGCAGCTATGCTACCTACTATGATCTTGAACACAGCCCTTTTCTTGATTTCAATCCTGACTGTTACATACCATTTGTTTGATTTTAATCTCGGTGGAGCATTCCTGGGGATAAGGAAGAGGGCCCTCATAGGATGCATATCACACAGTGCTAAAATAGAAAATATTGTAAAACTCTGTTTATCAATTCTGATATATCTGTTGAAATCAATCTTAATATTCTGTAACAGAAGTCACTTGAGTACAGTTTATATTAAAATATGGCACACTAAAAGATGATTATGTTACCATACAATATGCTTTATATGCTTTTCACTCAAAAACCCTTTTATTTCACTACTTTATTTCAAGACTACTTACGTGGTTTACCCTCTGCCATTTCTATTGCTGTTATACCTAGAGACCAAAGGTCACTCTGAAATGATAAATAAAACAGAGTTATCTCCCTTTTTCATGGAGTGTACTAGGTAATAACTCTTTTCTTGCACTTAATTGCATCCGATTTAATGTGTAACAAAACAGAGGGAAAATAATTTGAATGTTACACATACGCTTCAGATGTCAGTCTTTGATTACAAGATCAGGGCTTTCAAGAAGATCAGAAATAGAAAATACTTGACCAAAATTTTAGGTATCTTGTGAAAGGTATTTTAATTAAAATGTTATCAAATTTTCTCTGTCAGATATTTTGGCCAGTACAATCACTGTCTCAGCCGGGTAAACGAATTTGAATGGCCCACAAGATGTGGATCTCCTTATATTCTGTGTAAACTCACCCTGTTGTCATACGTGGCGTCTGGATTCTCATCACAAGCAATCACCTCAGGGGCCATCCTACCAAAACACAAGAGTCTTAAGTTCTCAGCCCAAAAAGACTACATTTACTGATGCCAAATTCATTAACAAGTTACCTTTAACAAAGGACACAAGAATCTCCTGGTCTGTAAATTTCATCAATAAATCTAAAATCCATATATATAAAACTGAAGACCACATCTCAAAGCAGTTATATCAATGAGGCTTACCAGTAGGGTGTCCCTATAAAGGTGTTCCTTCTGCCAATGGTTTTATCTAACTGGGCACTGACTCCAAAATCAACTAAAAACAGACCAGAATATCTTTAAACATTTACAAATCTGTCTGAATGTTTTTGTGGGTATTTATTAACCAAATACATGTATCTAACAAATACAACATGAAAGCTTCTCACTGACCTAGTTTGACCTCAGCATTGTCGGTCAGTAAAACGTTTTGTCCCTTGATGTCTCTATGTATGACTTTATTGCTGTGTAAATGTGCAAGACCCTGAAAGATGAAAACAAACTTGAGCATAAATCGGAAATGAGAAAATTCTAACTTAAGTAAGTTTTTTTTTTAATTTACAGTAATAAATTGTCTAAGACCTACACTACTGTTTGATTATGAAATGTACTTTAAATTACTATGCAATATGCATAAAATTAGCAGAAATAGTAAATCTTCCAAACAAAACATTGCAATTTGTGTCTCAAGAACTTTTTGCTTTGAAATGCTGCTAAAGTAAAAAAAGGGTTCAACATTCTCAAAAGTTTGGATATAGGTTTTTGAAATCTTCAATTAACATTATCTTCAATTACCATAAAAATTCGTTACCCCCAGTAACATCTCTCTGCCAATATATGCAATCCATTCTTCCTTCAAACTGCTTCCTTTTGTGGCTAAAATATAAAAGTTAAACATATTAATTATAAAAGAGCTACACTGCAAGTAGTAAATGCGAAGAACTAAGTTTCCATTCTCCTTTACCCTATGGAATACACTGAAAAGCATGCATATTTTATCAATGAATTTTTGACCTTTGACCCTCACCTTTGACCAGATCTGTGACTGAACCAGCTCCACAAAACTCCATAACCAGCTACAAAGAATGATATGTAATTAAATTCAAGAGGCGTTTGCAGTGTTACATCTGCAGTAGGGCTGGGTATTGGCCCAAGATTTCGTATTGCGATATTTTTAACTGTATTGCGATATGTATTGCAATATTTTAATGTAATAAAAACGGCATTTTCTTACTATATTTACATTAATTTACATGCAGATATTACATAACTACTGATAAGTAACCAACATGGAAAAAAAATCTTGTTGATTTTATTTAAGATATGCTCTGAAATGTTCTAACAAAACAACTTCTGATTTACTGTTTGGCTTAATAACAAACTTTCATAAGTCTATTTTTATATTTAATTACAAAATTCCTTAATTTCTGCATATTGCCAATATATCGATATTACAAAATCGTATTGCGATACGATATTTTTTGTCATTGTATTGCAATATATTGAAATATCGATATTATTGCACAGTCCTAATCTGCAGACTTAAGCACACATGTAATTTGTTATTATCACACTTGTTCTTGATTCGTTTCTTTAAACACATCTAGAACTCAAACATAAAAAATAAATGAGCAGTTAAATGTTATTTACAAAGATCATGTTCAATACATTTTCATTTTGTCACTTACATATATGTTTCTTATTGTTACTTTGAGCCTGATCAAAACATTCATTTTTAAAATTAAATTCTAAAAATTTACCAGCACCAAAATTCTATATTAAATTCAGATTATAAATTCCTTGCCCATAATTGATCATCTTTTCCTGGGGGACTTTTCTTGATAAATGCTCCGTAATATGTGGCAATGTTTCTGTGGTTGGAAAACTGCAAAACAAAGACATTACAGAAATCACGTCTGACAAAATTGAGAATAGAAGGTTAACAATGCAAAGATTCACAATACAGTAAAACTCGGTTATAACGAAGTCACTGAGACCTGTAAAATTACTTCGCTATTATATATCTGTAATTCATTATATCTGTGTAAGGAATTCATTAAATTTATACAGCTGAGGATCCAAGATAACTTTGCTATATCTGTAAATTCGCAATATCCGTGTTCGTACTATACAAGTTTTGCTGTAGACAGGTAACATACACATTTCTCTGTTCATTCATTTGTCACATATCACATTAATGTACCCACTTACCTTCTTGAGGACATTTATTTCTAGTTTAATTTCCTCTTCTTCATCCTAAAAAATAAAATTCAAAGAAAAAATAAATTCAGCACTTATCAAAACCTCAACAAAGCATAAACCTTTACTCTATGGATATTGTTATGTTTACATTTTTAACACACAACCCAGTGTTTTCCCTTTATTTAAAAGTAAAGGGTTAGAGATCAGTTGAGACAAGCTAGGGGCAGAGGTTTATGAACAAAATCTCTGTGAACCACATAATTTTTTATTAAAAAGAGGCATTTTTGTCAATTGAAGCAGTTAATTTGGCCAGGGTTTTTGGGGAAAACACTGCAACCCCTCACCTTGGTGACTAGGGGTGGGACGATACACACATCTTGCGATACGATACGTATCTCGATATATTGGCACGATACGATACATATCTCGATATTATGATAAATTATAAAACTATTCCAAATAATAAGTATTTTATTTTTTTTTTGTCTAGACATTAAATCAACAAATTATTCTACATCAAATCATGTTAACTTTGCTTTGAAATTAATACTTGAAGTTCATTAATTTCATTGACTAAAACTGTACAAAACAATGATACATGTACATATTATTATTACTATTCAGAATTTGTTTACAAATAGTTGTGTATTTCATCAGAGAACACGGACTAAAAATTCATTTAAAAACATTGATCATATTTACATTATTATTAAATCATTGCTGAAAGTGTGTCGCCAAGTTGAGATTACAAAAAAAGTACGAGATAGATTAACAATTTATAATATCAAATGTTCTGGAAACGATATTTTCTGTGTATAGAACGCATTTCATACTGAACTTTTCTTGTCCAATCTCCCGAGCCTGCTTAAAAGTGAAAACGTTTTACCCCTAATCAACGACTTATTAGTTCTAAAGTGTGTCCTCAATATCAAAATAATCTCTTCACTTCGTACAAGCCGCCATTTTCAAAGGACAGGTACTTTCATTTTCAAATTTTGGATGGAACTTTCGTGTATCGTTTCGTACCGATATTTGAATGCTTGTATCGTAAACCGTATCTTGGAGGAAAATATTGGTATGTATCGGTGTATCAGTATATCGTCCCACCCCTATTGGTGACATTCATTGCTTTACTATTTAAGTAAACTTTTACTTTTGTGGCTATTTTATGTTCTTACAACTCACCTCTGTGACATTCATTACTTTAATGGCTGCCAGTTGTCCTGTCTTTGTATGCCTCCCCTAAGAATAAATGAAAACATGCTACATTTGATGGAGGCTTTTCACGTTCCCCAAGTAAATTCCAGAAGAACACTTGCACGCTTATAATGCAGTGCTAGTGACAGAGGACTTGCTTTGTTATAAACATAATTCATTATATCCAATGATAGGGAATGAAATCACTTTGTGGTAATTACAATTTTCCAATTCTTTTCTATTGACTTCTGGACTCCTGCAAAGTTTTCTTTATTTTTACCATGTGTGTGTAATGCATGGATATGTGTTTTGAATGTTTAATTAAGGTCTTCCGTCTCCAACGGAAGACCTTCTTGTTATTCTTCGGTTTCTTTTTCCCTATTATTATTATTATTATTATTTTTCTTACCAATTTTGTGCACGCGATTTCTCGTAAACTACTGAACCGATTCTCATGAAACTTTGACATCTGATAGGTACTGATCTGAACCTTATTGGAAATTTTTTTCGTCGATGACGTCACTTCCGGTCGTGAGATATGGACAATTTTCTGATTTTAAAATGCAATTTTGTCTTGATTACTTAGCGAAAACTGCTTAAGATATGAAGCTAAGATTAATTGGAGATGATAGTTCATGATTTATAGCGTTGCAGAATTGCTTTTTCGTGCGTCGTCAATACTTCCGGTCGAAACTGGAAGCGAATTTAAAAAACGCAATTTTTCAACTTTTCTTTTTTAATATTTTTATATTAGAATTGAATAAAGACCCCTTTTCTGAATCCAAATATGTAATTTGTTTGAAAATCGACCGAGCCAATCTCGAGATATTTGCATTTGAAAACGCGAAGCGGCGATCCCGATGGCCGAATGGTTAGCGCGTTGGATTGTCACGCGGGCGACCCGGGTTCGATCCCGCTTGTGACCAAAAAATTTTATCACTTTTTCTGCTCAATTTTTCGATTTTTATTAATTTTAGACTATTTGCAAAAGCATATTTTCAACTTTTAAGTATATCTTACGTAATAAGGGGTCACAAGGGGCAAGAATGCTAAATCTTTGACACTTCATATCATGAAAAGAGGGAATATTTTGATAAGCAATATTGAACAAAAGTTGGTCAGAATAATGATCTAAACAATATGCATACTTTGAATTTTTGTAAAATGGCCCCATTAAGTACTTGTAGGGGTGGCCCCTAAATATTTATATTAAGTATATCTTCTAAACAAAGAGAAATCTCTGAATAGTTGTAGAACAAAAAGTCTTTGAAATCACAAGACCTTTCGTTTGATATCAAGAAAAAGGGGCTGACTCCTCAAATTAGGGGCTCAGAGGGGCCAGAAGTCTTTTATCTGTAACTCTTTAATGATCAATATTTTGTGATACATTTCAGAAGCAAAGTTGTTCATATTACCAATTTGCAACAATATATTACAATATGTTGGTCATATGTTACGTAATTAGGGGTCACAAGGGGCCAGAATACTCAATCTTTGACGCTTCATATCTCAAAAAGGGGGCAAATTTTGATAAGCAGTATTGAACAAAAGATGGTCAGAATAATGTTTTAAACAATATGCATACTTTGAATTTTTGTAAAACGGCCCCATTAAGGACTTGTAGGAGTGGCCCCTAAATATTTTCGTTGAGCATATCTCCACAACGAAGAGAAATCTCTGAATAAGTGTTGAACAAAAAATCTTCAAAATCACAAGACCTTTCATTTGATATCAAGAAAATGGGGCTGACCCCTCAAATTAGGGGCTCATAGGGGCCAAAAGCCTTTTATCCATAACTCTCTAATGATCAATATTTTGTTATACATTACTGAAGCAAAAGTATTTATCTTACAGATTTGCAACAATATATGATGATATTTTAATAATATATTACGTAATAAGGGGTCACAAGGGGCCAGAATGTCACATCGTTGATGCTTTATATCTAAAAAAGGGGGAATATTTTGATAAGCAATATTGAACAAAAGATGGTCAGAATAATGTTCTAAACAATATGCTTACTTTAAATTTTTGTAAAACGGCCCCATTAAGGACTTGTAGGAGTGGCCCCTAAATATTTTCATTGAGTATATCTCCACAACGAAAAGAAATCTATTAATAAGTGTTGAACAAAAAATCTTCAAAATCACAAGACCTTTCATTTGATATCAAGAAAATTGGGCTGACCCCTCAAATTAGGGGCTCATAGGGGCCAAAAGTCTTTTATCTATAACTCTCTAACGATCAATATTTTGTTATACATTACTGAAGCAAAAGTATTTATCTTACCGATTTGCAACAATATATGATGATATTTTAATAATATATTACGTAATAAGGGGTCACAAGGGGCCAGAATGTCACATCTTTGACGCTTTATATCTCAAAAAGGGGGAATATTTTGATAAGCAATATTGAACAAAAGATGGTCAGAATAATGTTCTTATAACAATATGCTTACTTTAAATTTTTGTAAAACGGCCCCATTAAGGACTTGTAGGAGTGGCCCCTAAATATTTTCATTGAGTATATCTCCACAACGAAAAGAAATCTATTAATAAGTGTTGAACAAAAAATCTTCAAAATCACAAGACCTTTCATTTGATATCAAGAAAATGGGGCTGACCCCTCAAATTAGGGGCTCATAGGGGCCAAAAGTCTTTTATCTATAACTCTCTAACGATCAATATTTTGTTATACATTACTGAAGCAAAAGTATTTATCTTACAGATTTGCAACAATATATGATGATATTTTAATAATATATGACGTAATAAGGGGTCACAAGGGGCCAGAATGTCACATCTTTGACGCTTTATATCTCAAAAAGGGGGAATATTTTGATAAGCAATATTGAACAAAAGATGGTCTAATAATGTTCTAAACAATATGCATACTTTGAATTTTTGTAAAATGGTCCCATTAAGGACTTGTAGGACTGGCCCCTAAATATTTCCATTTAACATATCTCCACAACAAAAAGAAATCTCTGAATAAGTGTTGAACAAAAAATCTTCAAAATCACAAGACCTTTCATTTAATATCAAGAAAAAGGGGCTGACCCCTCAAATTAGAGGCTCATAGGGGCCAAAAGCCTTTTATCTATAACTCTCTAATGATCAATATTTTGTTATACATTACTCAAGCAAAAGTATTCATCTTAACGATTTGCAACAATATATGATAATATTTTTATCATATGTTACGTAATTAGGTGTCGCAAGGGACCAAAATGCTATATATTTTATGCTTTATATCTCGAAATGGGGGAGTATTTTCATAAGCCTTATCAAACAAAAGATGTTCAGAATATCGTGATAAAAATGAAAATCTTTAACTTTAACTAGGGAAAACTTAATGTCATTCTCTTTAAACGAATATCTCAGTCAAAATCACATCTCATCTTATCTAGAAATTCAACGGAAGACCTACTCGTTGCTCGCAACGAGATCTCATCTAGTTATGTTGTATATTTGTTATTTCTGTGGCATTCTAAGTTGTGATAGTCAGTTTAAGAGCTTTACAAAACTCCTTTTAATTGTTATATTGTCAACTTTAAATCAAATTTATTGTTTTACTGTATTTTACTGTTGGTTGTACATGGGCTTTTTTCTGAACCTCAACTATATGATGTAAACCCACTGACTAAAAGAAATGTTCAGTTTCATCTTTCATTGTTTCAAAATAATGTTTCGACATTATGATTTTGGGGTCTAAATATCAAAACCATTTATGGACCCCATACCTTGTATACTTGGCCATAAGTTCCATTTCCAACAACTTCAATCAGGTCAAATATTCCTGCTGGGTCCTGTAAAGTATGAAGACAAATATAAACTTCTTCTGGAAGTTGAAGTACCCCACTGGTTATTATTTTATTTATACAAAGAAAAATCATACACGAGATATCGAGGTTTTTGAAATAATCCATTGCGATGAATTAACAATGCATAACAGCAAAAAATATCTTATGTAAGATGAGTAACGTTTTTAATAGAGTCTGACAGACATTCTTCTTTGTTCAGTTTGTTCAACTTGTTGTGTTGTTACTTAATCAGCTGATTAAATAAGGACAAAATAATCAGCCGCGTCCTTCGTTAAATAATTGTAAATATATATTCCGCAAATGGAAAACCTATTATCACTCTAAATGAATTGATAAGCCCCTTCTTACCCTTAAACTAGACAAGTCTATGTCGTCCAAACTAACGTTAGTGGAAGCCATCTTGGATTTGATTCATTGAAAAAACTTCACTTCCTCTTCAACTTTGCGCCCACGAGAACCACACCACGCGTCAATACCGGTTTCTTAACAACAAATAATTGTCGTTTGGAGACTGTTTTCTGATTTAAATTGAGGGATCATCATGCAAATGGATGCATGCATCAGAAAAAGTTTCCAAACTTGGAACTGTTCCGCTATATTTACACATGCGAGTGACAGTTCAGTGCATTGTGGGATATCAGTCTAAGGGCGATAACTCTCACACGATGACATCATCCGGAACCACAGGTGCGGTTGTATGACGCACAAAGAATAGATTTTTTTTTACAGAGTTGTTTTTGTTTTTTGTTTGTTTTGTTTTGTTTTTTTTTATTTGATTTGATTCTTAAATTCACATGGTGAAGATACCAAATAATTTATGATTTGAAAATTTGTCCATGTCTTGTAAGAGACAAAAACTGTTGTCTAAACTGAAAAAAAAAAAAAATTATCCTGGCACAATATATTTAGAAATATCGACTTAATTCAAAATTAATTTAAGCATAGAACTGAATCCTCCCATTTTAAAAAGTATAAAATTAGAATATTTTGCAATGCTTCGAAAACTTTTTTTTAAATCTTTGGGCATTGTATTTTTTTTATTTAATATTGTCTCCCCCCCCCCCCATTTAAATAAAAATGCAACTATATATATAAAATTATTCTAAAAAGCTTTAAACAAAGAAAAGAAAAATACATGTGCTATGTTTAAATAAAATTAAAATAAAATATTAAATATTTTGAGAAATACACTGTAATACATACCGTCATATATGGAGAGAAAAAATATGAGTACATACATAAAAAACATTAACTTATATATTAGTTATTTTAAATTAAATTAAATTAGTTATTTTACAGTAAATTAGCATGGTACTTTAATACAGTCTAATATGATTTTTAGATGGAATACGTTTTGTGTATTTTATCTTTCGTCTTTAAATATAAATGTATGTAGATACCAAGTAAAGAAGATTAGGCATATAGCCGTGGCATGTGATCTGTGCAGGAATCGTGTACGAACGCCCGTGTTTGCTGACTTTGCACACAGAATTGGGGCTGATTCTGTAACGTCAAAATATCCATTTCTGACTTTAAATATATCTATACGTCGTCTAAGACATTAAAACGTTGAAAATTAATTTAAAGGCTGACATCCAATTTTTGGTCTTGTTTTCTTAAAGATAACTTTTAACAGGTTCTTTTAATATTGAAATTTATTTATTTGCACAGTTTAAAAAAAGAGTTTATCGGTAACAAGTTTTTTTTCCCATTAGAAAGATAATACAACTCACATGAATGCTCTACGTCCCGTTAAAAACCATAATACGCTTATTTGTGTAGTACGTACGGTAATTATAACAAAATTGACTATAGACATCAAAATCACTCTATTAATCTCTCCTTTTCCCTGCTTATAATTTTAAAGAAACATATATTATGACTACTTCTTGATTTGCACATTTTATCAATCATTTTAGCTTTACCATAAGAAGAACCTCTGTCAGTTCAATTGAAAACTTATTAAACAATTTAGAGGGACATCATCAAAGGACGTTATAGAAGGTAGGTACAAACTGGCAGAAAAATCCATGTAGACAAAACAATAACATGACCAAAAATACTAACACCCGTCTATATTTACAGTGTTACGAGTTTCGCAATTGCGCGAGGTCTCTACTCCTATTTTGTATTGTTTAATGGACTTCTGAGCTTGAATAATATTAATTTTCTCCAAAAAAAAAAAAAATCATTTTAATTTCAAGAACTAATATCAAATAATGAAAACTGTTTTCTTCTAAATTCAAATCCAGTATCTTTGCTCAAATCTTTCAGAAAAGAAACGATCTTTCTTATATTACTACGAACTTAAAGTTCTCCTCCTGCTTCGAGCACAAGTTTATGGCCTGCACCGAGGTACCCCATCCCTGTCTTTACACTGACATTTGCTGTACTGATCTGTCTGACGTATTTCATTTTATCAAATACAATTTGTACTCAGAAAGGACAGTACTATGCCCGAAGTCCACCCTGATCTTTCATTTCTTTTTCTACTGAGAATCGCCATGCCTCTATCCTTTTGTTGCACTTTGTTTCGCTTTCCAAGTAGAGACCATTGTAGCAGCCGCTAATGATATAAAGCCGCTTAATGATACACATATCATTAAGCGTTAACGTTGCAACTGTAAGGCCCAATGCCATAAATTATTGCATTAATGGTTAACCTTTTCAACCGCTAATGTTAAATCACCGCTTAATGAAAGAATTATATCATTAAGCGGATGAGCATGTCAACTGTTAATGCAATGATTTATGACATTAAGCGTTGAATTGCAATGGTAATCCAAGAACCCTTGGTATATCTGATTTTTTCCATTCTCAAGACATGGTTAATTAATTTCCGTAGCTTTCTATGATCTGGCACAACGTTGCATTTCTGATCTTGTACGCCCAGAATATCTTGAGTATTCTACGGAAATATGTGACGAAGTTGACTTTGATATAGCTACATGCTTAGTTTACTTTTGTTACTTACTTTGTCATATGTCATTTGCAAATAATTTTACTAAAAGCATTCTGATTGCACACACAAGTACTCTAAAGTCGACATAAAAAAGATGCTTGAGTTTCTGATTGACAATATCTATTGATGTGGTTTTTTGAGACCAGGTCTTCCAACAATCTATTGAAATTCCCATGGGTACCAATTGCACTCCGTTATTAGCATACTTATTATCGTATTCATATTAAGCATACTTTGTGCAAAATCGTATGCGTGAAACGAAGAAACATTCAACTCGACATTCAGATATATCGACGACGTACTGTTTATTAACAATGGAAATTCCAATCTTATGTCGATATGATATATCCTGGTGAGCTTGAGATAAAAGATACCTCAGAGTCTGACACATCGGTTTCATATTTAGATATTTTACTTGAAAAAAGCGTTAATGGTAATCCAACAACCAAGCTCTATGATGAACGTAATGACTTTAACTTTTCAGACGTCAATTTCCCTTACGTATGCAGCAATATACCTTCATCACCTGCATACGGAGTTTACATACCTCAGTTGATTAGATCCGCAAGAGAATGCTCTACGTATGAATAATTTCTACAACGAGGTAAATTATTGACAAACAAGTAGATAACAAGGATTTCAGCTGTCTCGTTTAAAGTAATCATTTCGTAAGTTCTATGGTCGATACAATGACCTTGTCAGCAAATACAATTTATAACTGAGTCAAATGCTGACTGACGTTTTTCATACTAGTTGTTATTCAGTTATTTATACACTGAAATGACGACGGATTTTTCCGTCATTCCCGATCATGACAAGGAGCACACGACGGGTGTGACCGGTTGGCAGGGGATTTTTCAATCTTCTATGGCACCTGATCCTACCTCTAATGTTTTGGAGGTCCGTATTTGCTCTGCTCCTATTTTGTCTTGTTTTATGGACTTTTGATCTAGAATGATGTTCGTTATCTCCATATGCTTCATTCTGTTTCCTTAATTCCATGTCAGCCCTATCTCTATCAGCTTGTTTTCTGGTGTTGTGATCGCAATGTTGTTTTCCATTCTCCATCTGATGCAGTTAATATGCTTATCTCTGGAGGATTCCCGCATGACCCAGTCTATGGCCAATAAGAAGAGCAGAGGCGAGAACATTCAGCCCCGTTCCAGTCCCGGTGTTACTAAGAACCACTCTGTTTGAGTATTTACACATTGTCGACCATTGTTGCAACAATGTGGGCAGGGGCAATAATATTAACCGTAACATGGGATGCGATCTTTGTCCCACACAGCCCCTGTTGTGAATTCTCTAGTCAGAGTTGCTGTCGAAATCACCCAGTAACTTTGTTGGACTAGTAGCGTAATTGTTTTATTGGGATGTCCTCATCTTCATAGATGCATGGTTCTACTTTTTAATTTTGGAATTTCTGCAAGCTTGAAGCACTTCTGGAAGGTATGTAGTCTTCGATCTCCCACCGTGATCTTGATATTATATCAACGACGCCAATTAAGGACGGAAATATCTTTGCAGTTTGGCTTGCAATTGGTATGCTAACCGTAGTCTGATCTATCTTCTGCATCATCAGCTTCATTTATATGGCCTTGAACGGATAAAGTACGTTTTTCTTATACTTGAAAATAGTTGAAAAAGAGAAGACTGAATCTGAGAAAAAAAAGCTGTAAAATTTTTTTAACAAACAACCAAATTAAAAATGTAATAATCAAGTTACAGAGTCTGGATATAAGTTATCTTTATTCTGTTCAACATACAATGAACACTATTTGAAGCAATCCAAAATTTGAGGAAGGTTTTATAGACCCTTTCACCAAAACTGCGGTACTGCTCTTTTGTAGCGAAAAATGATATATTTTGGTGAAATACATGAAAGACGCAAAATCAATTGTTGAAAAGAAAAGAAATTTTCATTGTAAAATTTTTATTGTTATATTCAATCCTCCAACATGTATCAAGCTTTATCCTAGCACTGAAGACGAGTCTATCACAAAATCAGTATCTGAAAGATTATACAAAATACAAGTTTCAGAAATTAGTTTCATTTTAACACGTTTAAGTAGAGAGATTAAAATCAATAGAGGAAAAATTGACATAATATTTCAAGATCAGGTATAAAAGAGCCTTTGATTGTGCACTATTTTTAACAGATATATTTTTTGGAATTTTTCAAAATCTTATATATACATGAGAAGAAGATTAAACACGATATAGCTTTCAACTCGACATTACGATATATCTACAGCGTACATGTATTATTAATTGACAATTACTTCCTTTTCAAGGAAATTGCAATACATGAACAAAATACCATAGAATCCGACATATTTGGTTATCTTACTAGAAAAAGACGAGAATGGTTATCTACCTACCAAGCCATATGATAAAGAAGATGACTTCAACTTTTCAATCGTCAATTTCCACTAAGTTATGCAGCAATATACATTTATCATCGCACATGGAGTTGATCTGATACATAAGAGCATGCTCTACATACGAGGGACGTTCAATAAATAATGTCATCGGGGCTGGAAAAGAAACAAAAACGAAAACGCTTTTCTATGATTTTGTCTTAATGATTTAACTAAATAATTCACTTTTTATTAAAACACATGTCCATAACATTTTTATTCAATTTCTAATTGTTTTCAGAACACATTTTTGAGTATGACCC